GTTATTAGCAAAGAAAATGTAATCCTTCTTTCATGATGATATGATTTTTGGTTTTGTAAACCCTCAATTAATTTTAACAGTTTAAAAAGTCATCCCTTAGATACAATCAAAAGTATTAAGTACAATAGTCTTAAGTAGAATAGAACATAAAAATTGTTGAGTTTTCCAATACAGAAATATAGTTACAGCTTATGCAGAATTAGAATAAGGAAGAAGAAGGGACTGAGGGGCTCATCTGTTTTCTGACCTCTGCTGCTCTGACAAATATCATGTCCAAGAACAACTTAGGGAGGAAAGGGCTTATTTGGCTTACATGGTCAGGTAATGATCCATTTCTGAAGCAAATCAGGGCAAGAACTCAGGACGGGAACTTTGGATGCAGGAACTGAAGCAGAGCCCATGGGGAAATGCTGCTTATTGGCTTCTGTCTAGCTAGCTTTCCTTCCCTTGAGAAGTTCGAATTATGTATGCTGACCATATTCCCTCCCCAACTCATTCCATAACCATTTGCTTCTCCCCTAACTGTCCAAATTTGGGTCTTCATTTGTTTTTTAACTCATTGAGTCCAATCTGTGCTGCCTACAAACAAATGTGATGAACGGCTGTCCACTGGACAATAGTTAACCTACGGGGGGCCACATCTTAAAAAAAAAAAAAAAAACAGAACCAAAAATGACTCCCTCTTCTAGCAGTTCCCAATTGCCAAGAGTTCCTCAATAAGGTGGTAGGGCTTCCCGCCCACTTCCCATCTCCAGGATGGGACTCTGGCTTGAGTTTGTCTAGGTATTGTGCATACTGTCACAGGTTCCTCTATGCAGGTGCCCATTGAATCTGGAAAACACTACTTTGTTGTAACCATCCATTACCTCTATCTCTTACAATCTTTTCACCCTCCTCTCCTGAGATGATTCCAGAGCCTTGAGAGGAGGGGGGTATGATATTGATGTAGATGTCCCATTTGGGGCTAAGCATTCCAGTCTCTTATTCCTTGACCTGTTGTGGGTCTTGGTGTTAGTCACTATTGACTGCAAAAAGAAGTTTCTCTGATGAAGGCTCAGAGATACAGTGATCTATGGGTACAGGTGTCTTTATGAATTGCCAAATCATGTCCATTTAGCGGGACTTGTTGGCCAGCGAGGTCCCAGAGTCCCCCAAACATTACAAGACATTGTCAAATCTCTTTGTTACCCTCCAGAACTTGATGGTAAGACCCTACTGCTAAACATCCTACATACTTGAATCATGAAACACGTAGAAATCCAACTGGGACTAGGAAGCTTTATTCCTACTGGAAGGTGCCACGGATGCTCCTAGAGGCGAAAAGTCATTATCAGTCGTACCCAGCTGTGAACCTTCTGAGTACCATAAAGATGGGCCTGGCAAGACATGACCATCGTTAAAATAGTGGCATGGATGTCGGGAGAGTAAACAAGGTCCTTCTGGTGAATTTAAACCATGCTTGACATGATGAAATCCATACCTGGCACCTTTACTCGGGCCACGAACCTATAGCTAAGCAGGCCATAGACCCCAGATGAGAACTTAGTATTCTCCTTCAGCCAGTTTTCTAACTTGGGACCATTTGCTAAAGGGGTAGGACCACCAAC